TCCACACTGTTTTCCAAAGTGGCCGTACCGACTTGCATTCCCACCAACAGTGTAAGAGGGTTCCCCCTTCTCCACAACCTCTCCAACATTTGTTGTTTCTTTTCCTGTCCAGTTTTGCCATTTTAACTGGTGTAAGGTGGTATCTCAATGTGGTTTTGATTTGAATTTCCCTGATGGCTACTGATGATGAACATTTTTTCATGTGTCTGTTAGCCATTTGTATGTCTGCTTCAGAGAAGTGTCTTTTCATGTCTTCTGCCCATTTTTTGACTTGATTATTTGGTTTTTTTGGGGGTGTTGAATTTGAGAAGTTCTTTATAGATCTTGGATACCAGCCCTTTATCTGTAGTGTCATTGCAAATATCTTCTCCCATTCTGTGGCCAGTCTCTCTCTTTAACACCTGAATTCTATTGCTCCCTCTGAATGTGCCAGAATTTATTTTGCCAGGCACCTGTCAAGGGATAACCAGTTTTTCTGGCCTTTTTTGTTTAAATCAGTATAAATCAGGGGTCAGTGGACTTACTCTATAAAAGGCCAGAGAGTAAATATTTTAGGCCTTGTGGGCCAGACAGCCTTGGGTGCAACTACTCCACTCTGCCCTCCTAGTTCAAAAGCAGCCATGGATGATATGCAAAGGAGTGTTTGGCTGGGTGCCAATAAAACTTTATTTACAAAACCAAGCAGCCCGCCAGATTTAACCCACAGGCTGTAATTGACCAACCGCCAGTATAAGTGATACTGCAACAAATAGTCTTGCACATATTTTGGGCATATGTTTGAGTTTATAGGGTAAGTTCCTAGAATTATCAAAAGGCATACTCGTTTTTAGTTTCACGGAGTATTGCCAGATTGCCTTCCAAAGAGAACCACCTCCATGTAAACTGCTCCAAGAAGGGTGAAGTGTGCCTGTTTCTCCATTCCTTCACCAGTACTATACTACCTGCTATCAAATATTTTTATCTTTGCCAATCTTAGGGGTGAAATATGGCATCTCACTGTAAGTTGAACTCACATTTCTTTTAGGTGTGGGAATATTTTCATGTTTGAAGACACTTGTTCACTAGTAATCATTGGCCCACCTTTCTTTTGATCTATGGGCCTCATTGATTTGTGGACTCTCTTTACATATGAAGGAAATCAGTCCCTTGTCATCCATATTGCAAACTGAACGATGTTGTCAATCTCAATGTGTTCTACGGGTACAAAGCTCAGTCAATGAATGTTTAAAATCCCAGTCTTAAGAATAAGATGTCTTTCACTTAAACCTCTGTGAAATAAATTGGAGGAGGGGACTGGTCACAAGTCACAGAAGGACAAAAACTGATGGCAAAGGGCACTGGGCTTGCTCCAGGAGTCTTGGCAGCTGGAAACCTTTATCATGAAACAGCATCCATTGGCCTAACTTCAGTCAGTCACATTCCTACCCGACAATGAGGCCCGGAAATAGAAGTGGGGTGCCAACAGGAAGGAGGGTGGATGATGGGCAGCTACAAAAGGACAAGTGTCTGTTGGCAGAAGGTCAAGGTCTCGGAGGTGGTAGGTAGAGGCATTTGTCTCTTCCAGGCTGTTATGTGGGCCACTTTTCTCCACCACTGGTGGGGGAATCCGATCCGTCAGTGGGGGATCCCCAGCACTGTTTGAGGCTGCCTGTGCATATGCTTGCTGGCTTTCCTGTTGGAAAATCTCCTCTCTTCCCTAATTGGCAGGAACGCATATCTGATGGACATAAAAGCCTGTGTCATATTGGATGCAGAGACTTCCCGGTTTGTCATTGGTCTATCAAACATGTTTATGATATTTCAACACAAACAAACAAAAACTATGGACACACAGGAAATTGCAAAAATAGTACAGATCCCATGGACCCTTCACCCAGTTTACATCTTATCTAACCATAGTACATTGTCAACATCAGGAAACTGACCTGAGTGCAATGCAATTAACAAGAGTCTATACCTTGTATGGATTTTATCAGCCTTTACATATGTTTGTGGGTGAGTGTGTGTGTCTATTTCATTCTGTCACCTGTATAGATTCCTGTAACCAACACTGCAGTCATAATACAGAACTGTTTATTCTCAAGAAAGGAGTTCCTCCATGCAATCCTGTTATAGCCACACCCATCCCACTTACGGTGTCCTGAACAGAGAGAGAGAGTTTTCCATTGATATTTGTGTCACCAAATGGTTTCCTTAAGGACTGCTAGATTTCATGCCATGATTAAAAAGGAAGATCTTTGGAATGAGGGTTTTTTTGTTTGTTTGTTTGTGTTTTTACTTTTAATCTCTCCAGTATGATTTTTTTTAAGCAAGAAGGAAAAACAAAAGAGGTTTGGGCTCAGTCTTTCTGAAAAAAAACATGCACATACAAACCTCCCTATCTTCAGTGGGAGACTCAAACAGCTCACAATTGAAGTATCTTGTTCGCAACAGCGCTTGGCCACTAATTGAATCCTTCAGAGTGATGGACTGAAGGTCAAACACAGCAGGTGAGGTAATGGGAAAGACATCAACAGGCCCATGCTGTGTGAAACACAGAATAAGACTTTGATCATCCAGTTTATGGAGCCAATTTCCAATGGGCCCAGAGCAGGCAGTTGCAAGGAGAAAGAAATTTCTTAATGCGAGCAGATATCCCAATTTAAGACAGGCTGCCCATACCAGAAGGGCATCAATTTTGGAATTAGGGTTATCTGTGGAGCTGTCAGCCTGCTGGAGGATCCTCCTGACCTCCCTGACATTGACCTTCATCCTCTGTATCTGTGGGGGTTAGAGTGATTTGAGGCCCTGACAGGTTTTTTGATAGAACCCAGCTTAAGGGTTACCTATGCCATTTTCTTTCTGGATTCTGTTCTTTCAAGTCAGGAAGGGCTAGGAAAACAAGCTTAATTCTGGACACTCCAGACCTCGCCATTGGTGTTTTCTCGAAAATTTAAGCAATATGTGACCAAAAAAAAGGGGGTGGGGGAAAGCTTGTGTTAAGAGTTCTTATTTGTAGAAATTTCACCTGCATTTCCTCAGTTAATTTTCCTGACTACGCCCTGAGGTAGAGATTATTTTCTTTTTGGTTTATTTTTAAATAATTTTAGGCTGACAGAAAAGCTGCAGAAATAGTACAGAGTTCCTGGAGACCCTTCACCCAGCTTCCCCTAATGTTCACATCACCACGTAACCATGGTTGAATCAGGATAATGAAAGCCAGGAAATTAGCATCAATACAGTCCTATTACCTAATAGGTAGAGGCCATTTTTTCTCGTCCAGGATTACTACGACTGAACATGTCCTTCCAAAATTCGGATGTTGAAAGCTAACGCCCATGGTGATGGGAAGTATGGGGAGGCAGAGCCTTTGGCAGGGGATTAGGTCATGAGGGTGGACCCCCATGATTCAGATGAGTGCCCTTAAGAGAGAGGTCGCAGAGGGCTCCCTGCCCCTTCCGCTCTGCGGAGACAGTGGGAATATGAGCAGAGGGCCGCCTGTGGCCCAGGAGGCGGGCCTCACCAGACACCAAAGGTGCCTCACCTTGATCATGAACTTCCAGCCTTCAGAACGGTGAGAAATAAACATGTGTTTGTTTATAAGCTGCCGGGGTCTGTGTTATTCTTGTTAGAACAGGCTGAACTAGGACAAGGAGCCTATCCAGGATCCCACATTGTGTTTTGTTGCCTTGGTCTCCTCCTCCTGTGACAGTGCCTCAGCCTTCGTCTTTCACGATGTTTGTGAAGAGGACTGCCCTGTTATCTGGTGGGACGTCCGTCAGCTTGGGTTTTGTAGGATATTAGCTTATAATAATTAGATTGAAGTCATGCACTTGGGGCAGGAAGCCGAGAGGTGCCACTGAAAATGTCCTTCCCGGTTGTTGGAAGTCTCACTGGTGACATTAACTTTGATCATTGGGCTAAAGAGGTGTCTTCACTCTAAAAGTACTATTTTTCCCTTTATAACTAGTAAGTATCTTGGGGGAAATACTTTTGAGACTAGGGAAATATCCTGTTTTTCATCATATTCTCCCCGCCCCCCGGCCACTTTTTATATCTGTTAACCTTAAAAAATAAAACTGCCAGTTATTTTACCGGTAAAAATAGGTCTGTTCAGGAGTAGCAGAAAACTGCAACCCAGGACAAGCAAGCTACCGCAACAACCAGAGGCAAATCTGCAGAGCAAGGGAGAGAACTACCCTTTTACAGAAGAAAGGGCAAATTGCAACAAGCGGTTATAAACAAAAGTCCATGGCTCTCAGTTCCAGGTGTGGCGGCTTCTCATTGGCTTGGCTGTGGCTGTCTCTCATTGGCTGGACTCTGGCTCTCTCAGGCGCCGAGCTGTAGCAGTGTCTCATTGGCTGGGCGGTGGCTGTCTCTCATTGGCTGAGCTATAGCTGTGTCTCATTGGCTGGGCTGTGGCTGTGTCTCATTGGCTGGGCTGTAGCTTTGTCTCACTGACTGGGCTCTGGCTGTCTTTCATTAGCTGGCTGTAATTATCGTTCATTGGCTGGGCTGTGGCTGTCTCTCATTGGCTGGGCTGTTGCCAGGGCAGGGGAAAACTTCCTTCCTCCTGCTAGGGCAGTGAAGTAGTGGCTAACATACTATGGACCGGCAGGGTGCTGGACTTCCTATTGGGTCTGCAATTACCAGAAGTCATAGGGCGCAGAGCTTTAGCTGCCGGCCTCTCCACTCCATTCTAAAAACGAGGGTTCCCCTTATTTTCAGATCCATCCAGGGATCTTGGCTGCAACAATTGAGGTATTTGCCCAATGGTTAGCGTCCATTTCCCTCATTCCAGACGGAATTTACTACGTTTACTAACTGGAAGAGCGGTAGGGTCAGTCACAGGGTTAGGAATCGCAGCACGGACGGACGGCAGGACCTGAGACTCACCCCAGGGACTCACCCCGTAAGTCCAAGCCCCGCCCCAACATGGCGGCCCCGGCCGGGAGAAGGCGGGGTGCGCCAGGTCACGTGGCCGCGCCGTCGCCGACGTGGCCTCTAGCGGACGCCCCACGTGTCCCTCGCCGCGTCCCGTCACCGCCCCAGCCCTGCGGACCCGATCCCAAGATGGCGGCGCCCAGCGAAAGGCGGAACGGCGGAGGTGCGTGGGCTGTGTTGCTGCTGGCGGCCGTGGCATTGAGGCCGGCGGAGGCGGTGTCCGAGCCCACGACGGTGGCGTTTGACGTGCGACCTGGCGGCGTCGTGCACTCCTTTTCCCAGAACGTGGGCCCGGGGGTACGTACCGCCGCCGCCCCGGGGGCTGGAGCGGTGGCGCCGTTGGGGGCGGGTCCTGGGAAGGGGGCGCGGACGGCCGTGGGCGGGGACTGGGAGGAAGGGACGCCGGGGGGTGCGGTCATCGCTGAGGCGCGACTGAACTTACAGGAGCTCGGCGTCCTGGGGTCTGGGGACTTGGAGGGTTGGGTCGCCAGCCTCAGTCTCTGTTTCCTCTCGCGTGCCCAGCGCGCCCAAGCAGCCCTCACTCTCAGACCAGGCGAGTCCCCGGCCCTCGGAGGGCCGAGCCGCCGCAGAGGTGGGCAGAGAGGAGGCTGAGGGGTATTTCGCCTCCAGGCCCTGTAGGAGGTCAGCCCCGCTGCAGCTCTGACGAGGGAGGAAGTGGGCAGACTTCGCTCTTTTTCTCCATTGCGCCAGGTCCTCCTTCTCTTTCGCTGAGGTGTGAGGCAAGGCCCTCCTCCCTCCTCACCTGGACGTCCGCAAAAGCCGGGGTCCAGCCCAGCCCTGTCCCCAGCTTGTTGGAGAAGTCCTTCCCCTCCCATGTTTGTGTTCCGTGTCTGTAACGGATGTCATGTCGTTAGCGGCCATTTATTGAGTGCTTCCTTAAAGCCAGATACTGTGCCAAACGCTTGATTTGCTAGGACCATTTCACAGATGAGGAAAACAGGCTCAGAAAAAGCTTTCACTTGTCTGAGGCCCACAGCACAGCAGAGGTGGGTCTTCTGGTGTTCATGTCCTGCTTCCAAAGTCCATGTGCCTAGATGGGTGGGTGCTTGGGGGGTGTGGGACCTCCCCCTTCCCCTTTCCTGTTCTTCATCCCCCAGAAGGCACCTGAGTTGTTTGTCCTGACTCGGGAGCTCACGAGCAGGGGGGCAGGTAGGGGAGTTCTCGGTCGGTAGACACTGGGAGGCCTTGAGAGGCTGGCCTCCAGGGACGTCGGTCAGGAATCTTGCTCTGCTTCCTTCCCCTTAGTGCAGATGCTCAAAAGCTGGATCTTCTTGATTTTTGGATCTCAGAGGACATCCTGAGACCCTCCAACGTAAGCAATAAGGATCACCTCCTAACAAGCTTTTTTCCACCTTCCGTTCTCCAGGACAAATACACTTGTGCATTCACCTATGCTTCTCAAGGAGGGACCAACGAGGTGAGTTGTTCAAAATTCCACATAGTTTTGTATGGCAGTATCCACTGTCATGGAGAGATGCTCTCCAGGGGGGCAGTGGAGTTGGGTCATACCTTAATTAACTTAAACTTATTGAACTGTTCTTGTCTCACCAATAAAAGATAATGCTCAAGGTAACTAGTGATGGTAGATCCCCCCCTATAATTCCACAGAGTGAACAAATGTCTGGATGGAAAGAGGCACGTGAGATACGGACGTGCTGCACCTATGAGCCTCTCTTAGGAGTGTTTTATTTGCCTTCTGTGCTGCATGACAAATCATGACAAACTTAGCAGCTTAAAACAACACCCATTTATTATCTCACAATTCTGGAGGTCAGAAGCCACGGTCAGCTCAGGTGGGTGTTTCATAAAGCCCAAATCAAGTTGTCAACTGGCAGGGCTCTTATCTCCAGGCTCATTCAGGTTGTCGGTAGAATTCAGTTCCTTGCCGTGTAGGACTGAGGTCCCCATTTCTTGGTGGCTGTTTTCTCCAGCAGCTGGTGCAGAGAGGAAATAAGAGATCTGAAGCATAAGAAGAAGGTGACTCACCATTGCTGGCTGTGAGGGGGCACAGGACAAGGAGTGCAGGTGGCTTCTCGGAGCTGAGGGCAGCCCCTGGCTTGTGGCAAGGCTTCCGTTTTACCACCACAAGAACTGAATGGAAGAGGACTCTGAACCTCAGACGGGTACAGTCTGCTGACACCTTGAGTCCAGTCTGCGAGACTCTGAGCAGAGGGCCTGCCAGGGCCAGTTTCTGCCTCGGGGACTGAGCTGATCAGTGGGCAGTGCAGTTAAGCTGCTAAATTTGTGGTCATTTATCAGGCAGGGTGGTGACTTGAATGCCCCCCCCCCCCGCAAAGATATGTTCACATCCTAATTCCTGGAACCTGTGAATGTAATCTTATTTAGAAAAAAATATTTGCAGATGTAAGTTCAGGATTTTGCAATGAAGAGATCATCCTGGGTTTCCGGGTGGGCCTTAAATCCAGTGAGAGCTCCTCTTACAAGAGACAGTCAGGAGAGATTTGATGGAAGAGGAGAAGACACAGAGGAAAAGGCCATGTGAAGATGGAGGCAAAGATGGAGGAGTGTGGCCACAAGCCACGGGGCATCTGGAGCCACTGGAAACCAGAAGAGTCAGGAAGGTTGCTGCCCCAGAGCCTTCGGAGGGAGCCCAGCCTGGGGACACCTTGATTTTGACTTTTGGCCTCGAGAACAGGCAGAGAAGAAATGGTAGTGGTTGTAAGGTAGCAAGTTTGGGGTGGTTGGTTATGGCAGCCGTGGGCAGCAATGCCAACAGTGGCAGACTAGCAGTGACACACCGTTACAAAGTGCTCCGAGAATAAAGGACTGGCATGGAGTGCTTTCTGCATACCGCTGCTTGGTTTTATTGGGAGGGAGAGCTGCAAGTTTTCGGGAAGATGCACAGATTTTCTGCTCAACATGGTTAGAAAGAGTAAAAGAGAAATGAAAAGGAAGAATTCGTCATCACTATAAAAATCAGTAAAAACCTTTTTTTTTTTTTTAGATTTTATCCATTTGTTAGAGCATGAGCAGGGGGAGGGGCAGAGGGAGAAGCAAACCCCCTCATCTTCATTGACCTGACTGAAGATCTTTTTGTCCCTAATTGTGCCTTCCTCCCCAACAACCAGGCTTTAGGAAATACTGCTCTTGTTCCAGAACAGTGTGTGGTACTGTGTCACCTAACGGTGTAGAGTCGTAGAGATGGAGGCTGCTTAGGAGCCTCTCACGTGCCTGACACTCCCGGCAGGCCGGTTCTCAGCCCTTCTCTCCTCCCACTTGGGACAGCGCGTTGAAATGGGCAAGAGCAGATCTCTCTCCACCTTTGGCACCACTGATGTCCGGGATTCAGGGCCGGGTCGTTCTGTGAGGGAGCTGTCCCAGGCACTGGGGCCTCGAGCAACCTTCCTGACCCCACCCACTCAGTGCCAGGAGCACCCCACTCCCCAGTGGTGACTTCCAAAAACATCCCCAGACATTGCCCAGTGTTCCCTGTAGGATGGAATTATCCCTCGTTGGAAACCACTGGGCAAGAGTGATTTTTGTTATTCTAGATGTGTCTTCTTTGTAAGTAAATGATTCCCAGTGACAGTATTTTAACAAAATGTAGCAAGCAAATGGTAACCCCCGCCACCAGGACAGCAGGCGTCCTGCCATTGTCAGCCCCTTCTTGCCACAACCCCTGGCCTCGCTGCTTCTCCAGCTAGTCCTTCCACTATGGGATGAAGCCAAGTGGTGGAACGTTCCTCGTAATGGTGAGCCAAAGCCCATGAGTCCAGCCTACCCCCAGGCACCCAGAGCCAGTCCAATGCACCCTCTTCCACGTGGCAGCCTTTTGGATGTGTGTAGCTAATTGATTTATGGGACAATGAACCGAAGTAGCACCTCTACTGTGGCGTTTATCGGGTGCCCCACGCTGTGCTAAGCCACACGCACACCTCATTTCTTCCTCTCCACAACCCCAGGAGGCCAGACTGCTCTGGCGTTACCCCATTTCACACTCGACACAGAGACCCGGCCTTCCCCAACTAGGAAGTGACCGAGGTGCCCAGGGTACAGACCCCTAACCACTGCTCTGTGCTCCTGACCCAGTGTCACCAGCAGCTTGGAAGAGAGCACATGCACCCCCCCCCCCCACTGAACTTAAACTCTTAGAGGTGGACAGCCTGCTGCCATGTCAGATGAGGGAGAGCCAAGTTCACGCACACTGGCTGGGGCGACCGCAGGCTGGAGCCTTGTCTTGGAATAGGCTGAATTTGTTTGTTTTGGAAGAGGGGTTTCATCTTGAAGAAATCACCTTTAAGCAGAGCAGACGTGTGATGGCATGGCCTTGTCCCAGCCGCAGCCGTCTAGCGCGGTGATGAGACCACAGGGAGCCGAGCGCTGCCCAGACCTGAGGCTTACTATCTGCCCATCGCGCCCTGCAGCCACGAGACCGCGGTCAAGTTCACATAACCAGAAAGCCACTCAGAGGGATGTTGACCCTCTTACTAAGAAACTCTCGGTTTTAAGCTTGTTTGCATTCCTAATTTTTTAAAAAAGATTTTATTCATTTGTGTGAGAGAGAGCACAAGCAGGGGGAGTGGCAGGCAGAGGGAGAAGTAGGCTCCCCGCTGAGCAAGGAGCCCGATGCGGGACTCGATCTCAGGACCCTGGGACCATGACCCAGGCCCAGCTGACTGAGCCACCCAGGCGTCCCTGCATTCATAATTTTTTAAACAGTGTTTAAACATTTGCCTCATCTTCAAGAGTCTTTTCAGAGCTGTGGGAAACTCTCAGATCTATTTCGTAGCATAAAACGTTTCCAGGTGCTCACAGGCCTTGGAGCCACGGACAGGTGTTTTTAGATAGGGAGGGAGAAAAGTCTGCTGAGTCCGCAGGTGTGGCCCACAGCCGTCCCTTTGACGAGCCAGTCACTGGTTCCCACATCCCTGCGGCAGGCAGACGGCATCTGGGTGACCACTTACTCCTGTCGTGATTAACCTAAAAATGGCGTTGTTTTTGTTCTTGAAGAAGCTCTGGTGTTCAACCAGGAATACCAGTACTGGGAGGATATTATTGCTCTGGGGGAAGGGACTGTAAACTCGCATTTTACTAGCAAAACAGACGCTTTAAGGCACCCAGAACCCAGTGGCTGTCCGTGTCCATTTGCCAGGTTTGCAGAGGCCATGAAAATTAGAAGAAGCTGTTAGCGGTGTGTCCGGGAGTCATTTAAAAGTTTTAATCTTCAGGGGCACTGGGGTCACTCAGTTGGCTGAGTGTCCGACTCAATTTTTTTCGTTTGATTTTTTACAAAGCTAATGCGTTCACATCCTTGCAAAAGAACGCATAAAAAGCATGGGTTCCACCCACGTCCTCCATGTAACCACGAGTATTACAGTCTCGCATCTGCTCCGAGGCCTTGATGCCAAGCCAACAAGCATGAATATATGGTCTCCTTTTATTTTAGTGTTTGTTTTTCTTGATAGGCTTTATTTTTTAGAGCCGTTTTAGGTTCACAGCAGAAGTGAGCACAAGACACAGATTTTGATACACCCCCCGCCCCCACTGCCTCCCCCCATCATTGACGGTCGCCACCAAGAGCGGGACGCTTGTGACCGTCGCCAAGCCCACACGGCCGCGTCACAGCCACTCCAACCCCGTAGCTGACAGTCTGGCTCAGTCTTAGTGCTGCAGTAAGCGTGGGGATGGACGTATGAGGACACATGCCCACCACTGTGGTCTCGCCCGGAGGAGTCTCCCCGCCCCTGAGCCAGGCTCCAGCCTGGAGGCCCAGGGAAGGTTCGCTCCCTTTTCAGAACTGGAGGGCATCCAGTTGCAGTCCTGGGCTGACCTGTATCTTCCCCTCTCTCCCCAGAAGTGGCAGATGAGCCTGGGAACCAGCGAAGACCACCAGCACTTCACCTGCACCATCTGGAGGTGAGCCCGGGGTCCCGGTGGGGGAGATCTCCCCTGCAGGAATGCACTGAGGTTGCTGGGGTGTGTGTGCCTGTGGTACCTCCAGGCAGCAGGGACTGGCACCCCTGAGGAGCGTGGGCTGGGGGCGCTGGTCACCCACATGCAGGTGGGAGGGAGGGTGTGGCGCTGTGCTGGGGGCTGCTGGGGTTGGGAGTGCTCCCCAGGGAAGTGCATTGACACTGGGGCCCCGGGGGGTGGGCAGGGTCTGGGCTCCCCCACATCGTCCCCCTCCGTCTCCGCACCCTGCAGTGCGGCATGAGTGAGCAGTGGGCCTGAGAAGGGACAGAGGGAAGGGGGTGCTCAGCTCAGTGGGGGAGGGTGCTAGAGCAGTATCACATCCTAGCCCTGCTCCCCTGGGCTCTGTGGCCTGGATCTCGTTCTTCCGGTGTTGGTTGTGGGTCTGGCATGGTGCAGGCACTTCGGGGGATGCACAGAAGTCCAAGCCGTGGTCCCACCCTCACGGGGGGTCGGCAGAGGGGGACAGAGCACTTGGAGGGCCGTGGCAGCGACGTTGAATCAAAGGACACCTGTGTTCTAATCCTACTTGCAGGCAGCAGCCCACAGTCTTCTGCCTGATGCTTTGTAAACAGCAGGTGCTTACTAGGCAGTGTTGGGGGACATTCTTACCCACTCTGTGGACTGGTCCCTGTCGGCAGCAGGCAGAGGAGCCCCAGGGGCCGCCCTGATGACTGGGCATGTGAGCACCAGCACCCTACGTGGGCGCAGCGCCAGGCCACACAGGCCTGCGGCCATGCTCATGCGGGGCCACCCATTTAGCAAGAGGTCCTGCCTGAACGGGCTGTTCTCCCAGTTTCACACATTGACTGACCAGGCCCGGCACAGCCTCTGGGGCTTAGAGAGTCCGGGAGGCTCCCTGGACCTCCCCCCGCCTCCCTCCTGATGCACCCCCAGCAGGACTCTCCTGGCTCCCCCCTGCTGCCTCTCCACCCCCACCGTCTGCTCTACGCACACGGCCGCACAAGGCTCTCCACCCCGCACACACTGTCACCCCCTTGCTGCCACCAGCCCTCTCTCAGCTCCTGTCTGCTCTGGACTCTCTCAGCACTCTCCATGGGACCTCTGCCCTCTGCTCTCTCCCTCCTCTGCCTAGTTAACTCCTGTACTTCTCAGCCCCTGGGATGTTGCCTTTCCCTGGTTCCTGGTACAATACCTGGAATGTCTTTGGCACTTTATGAAAAAGTGTTCAGTCCCTGTCCTAGAACAGCTTGCACCCAGAAGGAGAAACAGACTTGTCAATAAATGAGCCAAATGAATGTTCTAGTACAGAGGAAAGAAAAGACGATGTTGAGGAGGCCAGGGCTGACTCCCTTGCCTGCCCTTCCTTTGCAGGCCCCAGGGCAAGTCCTACCTATACTTCACGCAGTTCAAGGCAGAGGTGCGGGGTGCCGAGATCGAGTACGGCATGGCCTACGTGAGTAAGGCACGCTTGCGGGGGTGGCTGCCCTGGGGCGTCCCGCATGGACTGCACCTCCCAGACAGGTGGGAGGGAGGGTGTGGCGCTGTGCCGGGGGCTGCTGGGGTTGGAAGGGCTCCCCAGGGAAGCACGTTGACACTGGGGCCCAGAGGGGGGGGGGGGGCAGGGTCCAGGCTCCCCCGCATCGCCTCCCTCCACCAGCAGGGGTGGGGAGGCGGTTGAAGTGAGGAGGCAGACACAAGTCCTTAGAGGGTGATTTTGTAACGTGGGAGGACATGGGGCGCCACGCAGACTCTGGACGAGGAGGTGCCACTGGGCTCAGAGCGGGACCCTGCTGACCCCTAGAGACCCGGCGGGCAGAGGAGGAAATGGACACCTGGCCTTCCTCTCTTATCACCTGCCATCTCCTGCCGGTGCGCCTGCTGGCAGGGCCCACAGGAAGCCGGGGGGGGGGTGCCCAGGACGCTAGCCAGGACAGCAAGGGAAGGTGTGGGCCCAGAGGTGCAGGCAGTGTGCTCACCGGTGTGGGGCAGGGCCCCGTGTCCGGTGGCTCCCGTGACCTGTGGTTCATGGCCCGGGCAGTGCCTTCTGCCACACCGCTGACCCCCACGGCCCGCAGCAGGGGCCGGCCGCACTGCAGAGCCCTGCTCCCCACCCCCGCTTCTGCGTTTGGGTCACACGCGGTTTGAAAACCACCGTATCAGTCCAAGCAGCCGAACCAGCAGGGACGGGCATTAAGAGATTTAGTGCCAGGAGCTGGCTCTGCTCCCAGGGGCCTTCCCGCTGATGGAATCAGGCCCACCCAGGGTCGCTGAGGATGATCTCCTTAAAGTCAGCTCCTGGCCGACTTTCATCACATCCGCAAAGTACCTTCCCGCAGCAAGCGCCTGACTGCAGGCTCACGGAGTGTGGGCCTCCCAGCCATCCCAGCGCTGCCACCACACCGCTGGCCCCACTGCTGTCTGCGCTTTTGTCTTATTAGAAAACTCATATCTAGCTGATTTGAAAAAGACAATTCTGATTTTTAAAAATCGCATTCAAGAGACTGTCCTGTTTCTGTCATTTCTGTATGTTCACCGAAGGGGGAAATACCCTTCTCAGGGATTGGCAGCAAAGGCATGAGATTTTAAGCCAGTTGACAGTCTCTTAAGTGGATTAACCACTGCTTCTGCTGGATTCTCTGAGTGCTTAGAAGAGCAGCGCCCACACGTGCCCCTCTAGTCGAAGTGTGTGGCTTTAGCCCAAGCTGGGCTCTTGGGAGCAGGAAGAGCAGGCTGAATCGCGTTCTTTCTTGATTAGGGATGTTTCCACTTGTTCTCTTTCAGTCGAAAGCTGCATTTGAAAGAGAAAGCGACGTCCCCCTGAAAAGCGATGAATTTGAAGTGACCAAAACAGCAGGTATGTAAGGACGGCTTGTGGAGATGGACCCCAGGTTCTCAGGCACAGAAGGTGGGGAGAGAGGGGGATAGCAGCTCCATCAGAGGGGCAGGTTATGGCCCAGTATCTGCAAGCTGTTTCTGTAAAGGGCCCCTAGTAAATATTTTTGGCTTTGTGGGGCAGACAGCCTCTGCCGAGACGACTCGATCTGGGAGAGCAAAGGCCGTGAGCCACAGGGCACTGAATGGGCATGGTTGTGTCCTAATAAAACTTGATTTTATGAACACAGAAATGTGAATTACATATCACAAAATACCATTTTCCTTTTGACTTTGGTTAAAGCTATCTAAAATGTAAAAACCACCCTTAGCTCATGGCACAGGCCAAGCAAGCCCTACTAGGGACCTGAGGGCATGAAAATCTTCTGAGGCTCTTGGGGACGTTCAGTGGATTGCTTCCTAGAACGGGGGGGCCTGTGACATCCACACAGCCTGGCTGTCCTGGGTTCTGTGACTAGGAACAGCTTCGATGCTTGGGCAGCAGGGTCACTAACCCCTAAGGTCGGGGGCGGGGAGCCTGGTGTCCTGGGCCATGTTCAGCCCTGCGGGGCAGGTGTGAGCAAAAAGAGGGGTGGGAAGCTCCAGAGTTGGGGCTCTGTGCCTGAGAGCACGGGTGGGGGCCAATGATGACAATGGACACAGGAGTGGAGGTGTCCTGAGGGACACAAGAGGTGAGGTGAAGGATCCTTGTGGTTGTGGGCATCACCAGGCATGGGACAGGGGTGGGGGGGGTGCAGTGAGTGGGCCTTTCGGGAGGAGGGGCCTTGGGTCTGCAAGGAGCCCTGCCCCACCTGCAGGTCCTCGAGGGTGTGGGAGCTGTTGCAAGTAGAGGTCCAGGACAGGAGATGGGGCGGCCAGCAGAACCTTGACCTCAGGGTACACAGAGAGGGGCAGGGCTGAGCCGCTGGGGAATAGCAGGTGAAGGCCGCGATCCCAGGTCCTGCCGGAAAGCTGCCATTGGGCCTCAGACAAGTTTGCCAGCGCAAGCAGGAGGTGACGCAGCCCGCCCCCCGCCTCCCATCCATCCTCTCCGTGGCAGAAATGACCACTGCTCTTCCCACCCTGAGTGTTCCTGAGGCCTCCTGCTGCCCTCAGGACTGGCCCACCAACCTCTCCTTTCTTTGGTCCCTCACCCATAAGACTTTCAGGGCTGGGGGCCTTTCCCTGTTAAGTCCACTTCGGGGACTGCTCCCCTGCCCCGCCCAGGACCCAGCGCTTCTGGAGTGGCGAGGGCCCGACCATGTGCTTCTTGTCTCGCAGTGTCCCACAGGCCCGGGGCGTTCAAGGCCGAGCTGTCCAAGCTGGTGATTGTAGCCAAGGCCTCCCGCAGTGAGCTGTGACCAGGAGCCCCATCGGGGGGCGGCTTTTCCTCATCTCTGCTGAAGGAGCTGGGCTCTGGGACTGCTGGTGCATTACTGGTTTTCTAGGGGGGACTGTTGGCTGATGTCCTCTGAACATGGAGCAGGGGTCTGAGACCCGCTGCCCGTCTTTCTTACCAAAAGAGGCACTGGGGCACGTGAAGGGGGGGCTCCTGGGGGAATCATGGCTTTTCTGAAGCCAGTGCGTGTCTCCCTGTGGATCAGGCCGGGCTCCAGATCACTCCCAGGGAGAGCAATCCTGCTGCCCTGAGTCTGAGCCAACTGTTTTCTTACACTTTTCCCAGGGGACCTTCTTCCAGACTAACTGGGAAAAAATGAAATGTTCTTTTCATATTTAAATAAATAAGATGGTTGAAAAGCAACCACGGTAGCAACTGGCACTGGTGCCGGCCTGTCTGGGCACTCAGGGCTGGGGGGCGACAGCAGGGTCTGGCTGCCCGCACCCGCCTACCGTCCTGGATTCTGGCGACCTGTGTCACCACAGGCACCTGGACTCTCCAGGCATGACTCCTCTGCAGGCGCAAAAGGGCCAGGTCTCAAGGGGGTCGGCCATGAACCTGGATCTCCCTGAGCTCGTGGGGCAGGGCCAGCCACACCCTGCAGGTCACCCTGAGGTGGGGGAGTGCTCAGGGCAGACCTCTTTTGCATCTGGCTGCTTGGCTTCACTTCTCTTTTTGAAGCCGGATTGCATGTGGTGACTTAAAACAACAGCAACCACAAACATCCTTAGGCAAACAAAACCCCCAAATGCCCCAGACACTCAGAAGGTCCTGGTCTCCCAGCAGTGGGGCCTGGGAGTCTGACCCCAGCTTGCCCTTCAGCCTGCTCTCCGACCAGGTTTTCTCGTGAGCAAAGGAGGGAAAAAGAAACTGTGAGCTGTGCATCGGAGTCCTTGCTTATCGGAATCACCGTGTGGGATTGATGGAGGACTCCTCCCCTTTCACCTGCCTGGCCTCCCTCATGTCAGCCCGAGGACGTGGGCACGGTGGTGACCCCACTTGCCAGAGAAGAAGCAGGTGTGAGGGTTCCTGCCCCAGATCGCACACCTGTAGGAAGTGGAGTGGGACTCTCCCCCTGTCCACACCCCCGGTGTGTGTAGACCAGCTTGGGAGCGTGAAGAACAGCTGTTCTCAGAGCACACAGCAGTAGCAGGGTCCCCCCGTGGCCCCGGAGATACCCTCGGGGAAGGACCCCGCCATCCCTCACTGTCCGGCACACACATTCCACACTGCTCATGAGAGTTCTCAAGGGCACACGCGTCCACAGGGGGTTCACCCCACTCCAGAACAGATGTGCTTTGAGCTCTGGTGAGCATGGGGACCCCAGGGAAGGCCGGGAGCCTTTGCTGCTCCGGCTTTGAGGTTCAGTGGACGGAAAAACCAAGTGGATCGCCACAGCACACCGGAGACATGGCCGCCCAGGGTCCCCTGCAGAAACAAGGCAGCTGGAAATGCGGGAGTGACGTGGCACCCGGGGCCGCCGCGGGTCACATGGGCCCGACCCCAGCAGGAGGGACAGATGCATCCATGACCAGCCTGGAATCACTTACAACTTCCAAATCTTGTGGGGTCATCAAGGATGCAGAGCCAGTACCTGCTGGTCCTGGGACAGGGCAGGACATCTGGATGCAAACTAGTTGCCCTTGCCCCCACCAGCCATTTGCAGGCATCTTTCTAGATATTTCGGATAAACTCGAAAAGGAACCCACCCTGGCCCTGGGGTCTTTGGTCATGATGAGATGCTGAGCCGAACCCGTTTGGGTGCACACAGGCCGAGCTCTGCGGGCCCGCGCGTCCGCCCTCTTGGCGCCTGGGGGAGCAGAACTTGAACCTGTCAGCGAGGACTGCACTGCGGGCATGTGACATTACACGCAAGCTCGGGTTGAAGGGCAGGAGCCCCGGGAGGGCAAGAGAAAACTGTCAGCCGGCACCAGCAATTTAACCGCTAGTCCCACATAATGCAAATGGAAGATGTGTGCTTTTATTGAAATAGTTCTGTAGTGCTCTTTGGCTTTTCTAATTAAATCTCAAATTATGAAGAGTCAGGACAGGCTGGGCAGCCCAGCAGGGCACAAAGCCTTAGGCATATGGATGCATTCAGTGTGCAAAGCCGAGGACAAAGGCTTTCTTTCCTCTGGGGCTTCTTGGGTGCTCAGAACGCAGATTGTTCTTGAATGTGAAGATCTGTCTCCTGACGGAAGATGGGAGGGCAGGTTTGCCTTAGCGGGGTGGGGCAGAGGTGGGGCAGAGGTGGGCAGAGGGGCTGGCTCTCGGGCAGGAGAACCTTGGCTTTCTCAGGGAAGCAGAAACCCAACCAGAGGAAGGCTGTCCTGCATCTGGGGCAACGGTGCCCTGTCAGCCAGTGCAGCAGGCCAGGGGGAGGCAAAAGGGTGTGGTGGGGACTGCAGTGGGCCGGAGGGGCAATGTCAGTGCAGTGACACCGGTGGCCAGCGCAGGCTCAGGCAAGGTTCCGAGGAAGACTCCACGTCTAGATGGGTGCGTGCAGTTTCCTTGACAAATGCCAGGTGTCTCAAACAATGGATGGGGCTGACCACACCCGTCTGCTCGCCCACAAAGGCCTGCAGTCCTCCGGTTTGAAAGCTGTGCCCCACAGACCTGGTCCTGCACAAGTAGTCGTGAGACCTCGTCCCCCCTCCCCCGCCCTGCAGGTGCCCCGAACAGCCTTCCCAGCCCTGCCTCGGCCCACCTGCCGCAGCGTTACGCAGTCCGCTAGAACCAATGCCCCTTCTACAAACGAGCGTCACAGCTACACTCCCACACCCCACGTGTCCATCTGCGCCCTGAGTTGAGAGTCCCTGCATCCTCTGGGTGTCGCCAAAGCCAGAATTTGTTGAGCCTTGCTTTCCGTGGTCTCGTCAAAACAGGTGTTGGTCTACCGAACACACATGAGATAATCATCTTCAAATGGGCATGCCTCTCAGATGGCTTTACCCTGGAGCCCCGGGCCGGGGACACACTCTGACCCTTCACACGTGGGAGTCGGCTGCGATTCCAACCCCATCGAGACATCCTACCTACAGCAGCCACCCCGGCGCTCTCCTTGGCGCCCGGCGCACCTGCCCTGGGGCTGCCAGAACGGAGTGCCCCCCGCCGGGCGGAGACAGCAACAGAAATGTGTTCCCTCTTAGTTCTGGAGGCCAGAAGCCTGTGATCAGGGTGTCAGCCGGGCCGTTCTAGTGTCTGCCCCCATCTTCACCCACGTCCGAATGTCCCCTTCCTACAAGGACCAGGGGCCCAGCCCTACTCCAGCGTGACCTCATCTTAACTAACTACATCTGCAACGATCCTCTTTCCCAAGAAGGTCACAGTCAGAGGTCCTGGGGGCTAGGACTCCAAAGAATCTGGGGAGATGCAGCTCACCCCATAACACTCCCTTTCTCCCGGTTCACCACGACCCTGTCGCAAGGAACAGGCAACATCGTTCATCATTAAGTGGCGAGCGCCAGCTTCCAAAGGCATCCGGTGGCTGGAGGGGTGGTGCGGGTCAGGTCAGGCCGGCCCGGGCAGAGAGCAGTCTCGGGGTGCCTGGGGGGGGCCACGGGCCAGCAGGCTGAGCTCCTCTCCTCTGGAGATGGGGCGGAGGGAGAGGCGACAAGATCCCTTAAAACCACTGCTTCCGACGGATTAGCATCCTCTCCGAGAGGATGGGCACCTGTCCCGGGGATTTGGCCAGAATTGGATGGGAGAAAAGAGGTTCTGGAGCTGCCCCCGCCCCCGCAGCAAACCCAGGCCCAGAGGTCATATGCTGTCGTCGTCCAGCATCCTGGTGAGGCCCTCGCAGATGCGGCGCAGGTGCGAGCGGTAGGGCTCGGCGGGGCTGTAGAGCGCCGCCAGGAAGTCGCAGTCGGCCAAGTGGCCGAAGACGTGGTTGATGCGGCCGTGGGATTTGGCGGTCAGGTGCGCGCCCACGGCCTGGTGCAGCAGGTCCCGGCACTCGTGCAGGGCGGCGGCCAGCACGCGCCGGTCGAACGTGAAGTCCACCTGGCGGAAGCTGACTGCGGTCATGGCCAGGCGGCGCGCCCCCTGGCGGAAGCGCTGCAGCAGGGCCAGCTCCTCGCCGCCCAGCTGGCCGCCGCGGAGCAGGACGCCCAGCTTCACGGCCACCTTGACCAGGTTCTTGAGCACCTTCTGGGCCTCCTTGCGGCTGCGGGTGAACTCCTTGGTGGCGCGGTACAGCTCATCCAGCACCTCGCTGCTCGTGTCGTCGATGAACACGGCCACGGTGGCCTTGGACGCCATCTTGCTCAGGAGCTTCTTCTGGGCCTGCAGGGCCAGGCTCTTGGTGCTGAAGGTGTCCATCGGCCCTGCCAGGAGGAAAGGCACATAGGCGTCAGTCCCCACAGCCCCGGGGCCTTCCAGGGACCTTCCTGGCGGGCCCCTTGTGTTTGTGCCACGTCGTCCCAATCCGTGAAATGGGCGCGTGCCAGTGGCCCAGCCCCAGGAGAGCCTCACCGACAGGAGCCTGCCGTTCCACAAACCTGCCGGGAAGCACCTACTCGGTGCGGGGTGGAGGCATGTCCAGGACACATGGGCTGTGCTACCCTCAGAAGCTACAAGATGCCATCGCGTGGGCTCCCCAGAGAGGCAGGGGTGCGGGCAGGCCTTCTGGAGGGGGGACAGGTGAGGAGGTGGGCAGAGGGGCACGTCCCAGGCCGATAGATCTTCACACTCCGCGGCCTAGAGGGACACTCTGAGGAGCCAGAGCACAGAGCACAAAAACAGGGCAGGACACCTCCGTAGGAAGGCTTGTGAAAAAAAATCAGTCACACTGAAAAGATGGGGACCAAAGGGACCCTAAGGGATCTAAGGGAGTTCGTTTCTAAAAAAAGAAAGAGGGGCGCCTGGGTGGCTCAGTTGGTTAGGCGTCTGCCTTCGGCTTGGGTCGTGATCCCAGGGTCCTGAGATCGAGTCCCGCATGGGGCTCCCTGCTCAGCTGGGGGTCTGCCTCTCCCCGTGCCCCTCACCTTGCTTGTGCTCGCTCGCTCTCATTCTCTCTCTCTCAAGTCAATAAAATCTTTTAAAAAATTTTAAAAAGGAAGGGAGGGAAGGAAGGGTAAAGTCAAAAGAGGGAACGCATAATGGTGAAATCTGGGCAGGATGTTCTCCAGTCCCCCAGGCCCACCAGATCCTCACTGTGGGCTGAGGAGGGGCTCAAGGTGAGTCACCACAGGGAGATTCCACCCCCACTAAGTCCAGCTTGTCATTCCCCACCCCCATCCTGCAGTTCAGTAGGCCCTGGGCTGTTTAGGGTGGAGGAGCCCAGCTACTACCAATCCCCCCCCCCCCCCCCCGCCCCCCTTTCCCCGGGCCCCGGGGCGGGCAATGAGTCAGGTGGGTAGGAGCCAGGGGCGGGGGGGGCCCGGGGGGGGGGGGTGGTGGTGGCGGGGCACGTGTGAGGTGAGGTTTCTAGGAACACATTGCTCCAGTGACGCCTCTGATCTGGAAACACTGACTTGTGACAGCTCCTGCCCAGGAAAGGGCTGGGACAGTGGCCAAGGGGAGCAGCAGGCCAGCTCCCGGGGCACAGTGAGCAGGCTCCCGACTGCAGACTCTGTTCCTCACACCTGTCTCCACGGCCGACTGCCAGATGCCCCGAGTTCTGAAGCCACCCCCCCCACCACCTTCTTCCCGCGGTGCCACAGTTCTTCCCAACTTGCACATCTGGGCGTGATCCTTGCCTTCTGAGGACCAGCTGGCAGCTCCCACAGCTCCCAGGACCCGGCCCCACACCTCTTTCGGTGCCTGCATCCTCCCTGGTGAACTCCTATTCATCCCCCCGGAGCCCTGGCCCCTGAGTCCCTGCCTCTTCTCGAAGTTTCATCCCTCAGCTTGGCTTGCATACTACCTCTTCTAGGAAGCCATCCCCGAACCAGCAAGCTGACGAAGAGGCACCTCCTCTGGGCCACGCAGTGCCCCAGGCACCCTCCAACACTGCTCTGCCCACCTGCATCGGCCTTCACTCCCCAGCTGGTCGGCCTCACCCCAGCCCACGGGGCAGGCAAGGGGCCTGCTTCCTTACCCGCTGTGTCTTTGGAGACTCCAGAAAAATGAATGAGGCGAGCCTGAGACCCACCCCCAGCCCTCACCCACTGGCCCAGGCCCTAGTAGAATCTACCCCCATCCCGGCCCCAGGCCGGCCAGACCGGGAATGCCATGTGGGTGCCCGATCAGCCCCCAGAGCCCCCACAAAGCCCGTCTTTGTTTGAGCTCACACCCTGAGAGAAGTCCCACCCCCTGGGCTGCCCCCTCGCCTGCCCTCAGAGGTCAAGGTGGGCACGAGGATCGCAGGACTGCCTTCCCTGCCCCCCACACCGTCACCAGCCTTCAGGGCTACACGGGCCTGGGCCATAGCAGGGGTGCTGCTGACTTGGCACCACATGGCAGGCCCTGAGCCGGCAGCATGCGCCCATTTCATCATTTCCGCCAGGTGGTAGGCTGGTTGCCAATTTGCTGAAGAAATTACACAGGCTCAGAGAGGCTGAGCCACTTCCCCTAGGCCACACAGCAACACAGCAACTGACCGCCTTGGCAGGCCTAACTCTCTCCACCTTCCCCAGTTGGTGCCTGCAAATCACCTCGAGCTTTCAAGGGCCAGGAGCTGTTTCAGTGACAAATCCAGCCCCAGGACTTAGGACCTGCTCCCAGATCTGACCACTTAGTCAAGCAATATAACCGCCCCGTGCCTCAGTTTCCCCATCTGTAAAATGAAGATCAAACTAAGTCTGTCCTAGGGCAGAAGCTTGTGGCCAACCCCAGTGCCCCCCAGGCTGTGAGCTTTCCCTGGGCCGGGGGCTGGATGCCACTGCCTGGCATTCTGCCATTCAGGCTCTACGCCATTCAGCTCCCTGAAGGCATAGCCCTACTTGTCTGTGAGATCCTCTGAGGAAAGGGCAGCAGCACCTTCAGGCTGCTGAAGGAGTACCTGTGCCTCCCAGATGCCTTCCCACCAGTTTCTCTAGAATGTTCTACTCCATTCCCTGTACCAGGACTCCTCCTCTCCCTGTAAACTGCTCATCCAAGTCTCAGCATCGCAGTCACCTCCTCCTGGAAGCCCTCCTGGGTGTCTCAGGCTGGGCCAGGTGCCCCTTGGCTCCCATGGCGCCCCGGGCATGCTCCATTCTGGCCTTGCACACCTTGATTTCATTGTTCGTCTCCCTGGCCTGACAGTGCAGGCAGGGGCTGGGGCTCCCTTGTTCACATGGTGCCTCCGGTGGTCAGCCCAGGGCCTGGTACACAGCAGGCACCTCTTAAGTGTTTATTGAACGCATGAGGGAAAGGATGTCCACAAACATCAGAAACGAGAAGGAACCCCCAAGGCCTTGCATTCAGTCTCCCAGCTTACAGATGGACAAACAGGCTCAGAGAAGGAAAGGACTTTCCCTGAGTCCAGGGAGGAGGCCCAGGTGCCTGGACCCCAAGGGCCCTGGACCCCAGGTCTTGCTGCCTATCTTGGTTGCTGTATGACTTTCGGGGGTGAGGTGGGCGGGGGGGCTCTGTCCCTCTCTGGGCCTTGGCCTTCCAATCTGCAAGTGCTGGTTGAGTGTGTTGGTTCCGGAGGGGAGCTGGGCCCCCAGCAGGACCTCCCTCCTAAGCCCAGAAGGAAAAGGGGGTGGGTGAAGGCAGCTGCAGCCTCCCTCCAGGCCTCCACACTCCTAACCCCTCCTAACTCCTAGCCCCCAGACCTGCTAACACCTGGGCCAGCCCAGCTGCATGACCCCCTCTTCCCCAACCCATTGTTCTGCCAGAAACCCCCGTCCAAGCAGGCGGACAAGGAGATGACTGCCATCCCAGGGGAGCAGGCCACAGACGAAAATAAACCCCAGCCTTCCTTCCTTCCTACACACTCACCCAGGTCTGGGGGCGGGCAAGCTAGGAGGTGACCAGGCTGTGCCACGTCAGCCCTTCTGGGGCAGGGCCTTCCCAGGAACCGCCCAGGGGCTCAGGGGCCAGATGGTCAGCGTCCACAGTCCCTGCCCGCCGAGTGCCTGAGCGTCCCGTTATCATCAAAGCTAAAAAAGCCTGCTAAAGGATCGAGGGCTTGGCTAGAACACTCATTCAGTCGCTAAGGAGCATTTATGGAGCACCACGTGTGTCCCCAGCACGGGATATTGGAGTGATCCGAAGAGATCCTGTTCCTGCCCTCTGGAGGATTCCAGCCTTCTAGACCCAGGCCACCTTATTACAAAATAATTTGGGTCCCCCCGTTTCCCTGAAATGGAATCTGCAGACACCACTATCTACCTGCACCCACCAGTTTAGAAACAAAATAGGGGGTGCCTGGCTGGCTCAGTAGTTAGAGTGTGTGACGCTTGATATTGGGGTTGTGAGTTTAAGCCCCATGTTGGGTGTAGAGATTACTTTAAAACCTTCAGGGGCGCCTGGATGGCTCAGTAGGTTAGGTGTCTACCTTCTGCTCGGGTCATGGTCCTGGGGTCCTGGGATCGAGCCCCACATCGGGCTCCCTGCTCAGTGGGGAGTCTGCTTCTCCCTCTACCTCTGCCCCTCCCCCCAACTCACGTGTGCCCTCTCCCTCTCAAAAATAAAATCTTTAAAAAAATTAAATCTTTAGGGGCGCCTGGGTGGCTCAGTTGGTTGAGCGACTGCCTTCGGCTCAGGTCATGGTCCCAGGGTCCTGGGATCGAGCCCCGCATCGGGCTCCCTGCTCTGCGGGAAGCCTGCTTCTCCCTCTCCCACTCCCCCTGCTTGTGTTCCCTCTCTCGCTGTCTCTCTCTCTCTCTCTCTGTCAATTAAATGGATAAAATCTTTAAAAAAAAATTAAATCTTTAAAAACATAAATAAATAGATGGTATAAAGGTGGTAGTCTGAGGCAGACTGATTGGGGAAGGGGTCTAGAATACCCCTTGTTTTTGTGTCTCAATCTGGGTCTATACAAATATAAAAAGCCATCGAGCTAGATGGTCGTACAACTCTGTGATTATGCTAACACCCAGCAAATTGTACACTTTCCAAGGATGAATTTTTGATATGTGAATTTATAATCTCGATAAAAAAAAATTCTAATCTTTCTCCAAAGAAGAAACATAAATGGCCAACCAGCAGCAGGAAAGACGCTCAGGGAGGGAACCAGACACAGAAGGCCACATGTGGTGTGAGTGCACATGGGTGACACGGCCAGAACAGACTCATCCACGGACGGGAAGGGGGTGTCGGGGGGGCCGGGGCTGGAGGCGGACGGTGTGGGGTGGGGCGTGACTATTGATGGGGATGGGGTTTCTTTTTGGGGAGAGGGAATGTTCTGGAAGTTGAACACTTTAAAACACTGAATTTTCTGGTATTCGGGTTA